TCGGGTCTAGAGAACACAGCCTGAAGAGCTCCTTGCTGTTTGCCTGATGAGACATTTGATGTCGCAGTGTGATTTCTGGCTTCCAGGCATCAACGCTTATTTGTCTGATCACTCAGTGGCCACCCTGGATGCTCCGCTCCATATGCCCTTCCTATGTTTGTTTCCCAGGAAGAAACGTGGCCTTATTTAAATTCCAAATTTTCTTCTCTAGGAGAGAAAGTTTAGGTTTCTGATAGTTCTCAAAAAGTGTACTAAAAGGAATGGCAGCTTTTATCTCTGTCAGGGCTATACAAAAGTGTGCATCTCCTTAATTACCGGCTACTGAAACCACCACCATCACCATGTGATTGCAAAGTGACCACAACCTTCTAATTTGCTCCAGCAGAAAACGGACCCACCCTTATTCTGAGGAATCCAATGTGCACTCAGGCATCAGGATAGGTGAAGGGAAAGAAAATCTAACTGCAGAGGGGACTATTAACTTAATTTCAGGTGAAATTAAAAGAAAAATAAAAACAGCTTCCCAGAAACCTTCATGCTTGATTAGTCAGCAGCTCAGTTAAGAGATTACCTTCTCTTTATTCCCCACAAGTGGGAACCAAGATGACAGGTTTTTCATTCTCCCCATACATACCCCAAGTCACCCTTCTCTCTCCTTGAAGGCTCCAAGGTTTTCGTGATCTTTTCAGCTGTACTTTATGGAGTATGTTCTTGAGTTCTGCAAAGATTAGCATCAAACTCTCTCACAGCTGCCCAGTCTGTATTATTGATCAATACTCAGTTCGTTTCACATGACTAGCAATTTTAAAAAAACACCTTCATTTGCTAGGCCATTCTTTTAAATAAGATTGCAAATAGGGTCTGCTGCGAGCTCTAGACTAAAGGCTCTTGTCAACATGGCTGCGCATCAGGGACATTACTTAGGTTCTAAACAAAGCATGGATTCCAGGTCCCACCTGAAGCTATTGAATCCGAATCTCTGAGGTGAGGGCCTTTGCACTGATTGAATACCAAAAACTGGCCAGATGATCCCAATTTACAGTCAGGGTTGAGAACCTCTGCTCTAGAATATCTGACTCTGCTGAACTGTTGTCCCCCACAACCCAGAACAAATATGTGTATAAGATGACTTGGGTTTACTCTCTTGGAAGACCTTTGTTTAACTGGATGTACCATTGCTTAGCAGTTTCAATGTGATCTTATGCCAGACTGGCATCAGACAGTTGGCCTTGTGTTGAATGATGCCTGGGCTTTGTGGTATTCTACTTTTCTCCACACAGCATAGGCAAAATGCTTCTAGATGTGGAACCATTTTGATGAATGGATTAACATTCTCAGGACTCCTGGTAAGGTCAGGGTTATTTTCCACATCTTACAAACAAAAATTTGGATCAACGGTTAAAAATTAGGACCAAAATGACTTACTTCGATTCACCAAATATTTGTAATCAAATAAGGACTTAGGACACTGGAAAGCAGTTCTGAGTCTAAATGCCTGACGGCTTGGGGTTAGTGACAAAGGCAAGAAATAGAGACCAGCCTGGGTTTCCAGCTTCCTAACACACAAAGGCTGGGGTACGGTCACTGGGCAAATACTGCAACTAGGTTCTGGGCCCTCTCCTACCTGGGTGGGCCTCCTGCCCTATACAAACCATCCCCAACCCCTGTTTACATTGGAACTGCACTGCTGTAAACAGCAATTCAGGGAAGAGGACAAGTCATAATTAGGATTTCCCCTGTCATCTCCCCACAGGAAAACGCTGATGGGAAGCCCGCCCCTCTAGTTTTGGTCTTGGCAAATCTCCATTTCCTTGTATGTGAGTAGATCAGAATCAAATGTTTGCAATGAAGACTACAAGACCCTTTGGGGATAAACACAACACTCTATGGATTGAACTAAGACTAGGAAGGGAAACTCAGTGATTATTTTTCTTCCCTAAGAGAATCATTTCTTGTAATCTGCTAAAAGCTTTCTCAAATACAAGAACAACAACAACAACAAAATAACATCTGGGCGTGGTGGCTCACACCTGTAATCCCAGGACTTTGGGAGGCCGAGGCAGGCAGATCATGAGGTCAGGAGTTCGAGACCATCCTGGCCAACGTGGTAAAACCCTGTCTCTACTAAAAATAGAAAAAAAAAAAAAAAATTAGCTGGATGTGGTGGCGCCTGCCTGTAATCCTAGCTACTCAGGAGGCTGAGGCAGGAGAATCACTTGAACCCAGGAGGCAGAGATTGCAGTGAGCTGAGATCATGCCACTGTACTCCAGCCTGTGTGACAGAGTAAGACTCCATCTCAAAAAAAAAAAAAAAAAAAAAGCCTTGCGGTGAAAAAAGGGTGTATCCAAATCCTTCCTGGTTGGCTTTTTTCAAGAACCACCAGCAGGGTGTGTCTGTTAGCTTTTCCCTCCAAAATTAAGTAATCGACATACGATAAGCAAAGCTTTATAAAGACCCACCAAAGAGCCAAGCAGCCTATCTCTCCATCTCTGCAAAACAAACACAAAAATGAAAACAAAACAAGCCTTCCCTTTTAGATGTATATGGCATGACTGCTCATTACTGAGATAACTCTACTAAATAAAAACTCCTATGCTGGTTCTGGACTCCAGCACATATGTAATATATGTGTCTCCAGGGCTCTGCCAGGCCTGGCAGCCGCTGTCTGCAACCTAACCCCAGGATATAAGAACTTCCCTTCCAGGGGCTATGAAAGCTCTTTCTCTGGCTGTGGGGTGTAGATCTTATTCTTAAGTCCTTCACTAGCCTAGGTAACCCTGAGGCCTCATGGGTCTGGGTAGGTTGTTCAGCATTTTTCAAACTTCCAAAGCCGATGGATGACCATAAAATCAAAATGGACTATATTGTAGATAAAAAGGAAAGAGAAAAAAAAAAAGAAAGAGGAGAATAAAAATCATTCAATTGTGTGTGTATTTTTCTTTTTTCTTTTTTTTTTTTTTTTTTTTGAGACAGGGTCTCATTCTGTTGCCCAGACTGGATTGCAGTGGCATGATCTCAGCTCACTGAAACTTCTGCCTCTTGGGCTCAAGGGATCCTCCCACCGCAGCCTTCCAAGTAGCTGGAACTACAGGCATGTGCCACCATGCCTGGCTCATATTTGTATTTTCGTAGAGACATGGTTTTGCCATGTTGCCCAGCTTTGAACTCCTGAGCTCAAGTGATCCTCCTGTCTCAGCCTCCCAAAGTGTTGGGATTATGGGCGTAAGCCACTGTGCCAGGTGTCAATTTTATTTTATTGAACCATATGAAATTGCGACTCCTGTTTTTACCTAAGGGTCGAATATCAGCAAATTCAGATGGCTCAGCCTAATTAAATACGTATTTTCCTGATTTGCACAAATTATCAATTCAAACACAAAGTTGTGAAGCAATGCCTTACTTAAAAATTAAGCATTAAACATGCGAAGTGAGAAGATTAAATGGCTGATTCCATTATAGGTAGACTAGACTGGGACACTATTTTGTCTGCCATCATAAGAAAAATGCCCATGTTATTGAAAGCATTTTTTAGAAATTGGGTTGCCAAAAATATGCTAGCACTGAGGCAGGCACAGAGACATGGGGAGAAACTCGAACTTTTCCCAAGAGGTCTTTCAGTATTTCCGCACTACAGGTGTGGGCAGAGAACAGCTCATCCAGAAAGAACCCTAACCCTAACTTTCTTTTTTCTTTTTTTTTTTTTTTTTTTGACTGAGTCTCACTCTGTCCCCCAGGCTGGAGTGCAATGGCATGCTCACGGTTCACTGCAACCTCTGCCTCCCAGGTTCAAGCAATTCTCCTGCCTCAGCTTCCGGAGTAGCTGGGACTACAGGCACGCACCACCATGCCCTGCTAATTTTTGTATTTTTAGTAGAGACAGGGTTTCCCCATATTGGCCAGGCTGGTCTCAAACTCTTGACCTCGTGATCTGCCCACCTCAGCCTCCCAAAGTGTTGGGATTACAGGCGTGAGCCACCGCGCCTGGCCAAAAACCTAACTTTCAAATTACACCCATATGTTAAGCTGGTGCAGCAGCCTCCGCAGAGACAAGGAAAATGACCTTTCTCTGCACGGCACTCAGTGGCATAAAGACACCCGGATTTCTAAGCTTATAGAAGACAGAACTTTCTAGTGGGTTGAAGATACTTAATGTTCCATTGACTTCCCTCTGATTCCTCAGGTGGCCACTGAAATCTCATGCGTTCGTCAGCTCAAATTTTGGGATTCTACCCAGTCTTGAGACTACTAACTCGTATTTCTTTGCAGTTAATTTTTTGCACTGAGATTTCTTTCCCTCTGAATTCTAGTCTGGTGCCTTGTAGGTTTCTTGCTGCCTTCTCTTCCCCAGATAATAGCATCCTAAAAAATTTGGTGTTATTTCTAAACCCACAGTAGATACTTCCGTCCTAGTGATTATTTCCTCGGCTGTCAGTTCATACGGCAGCCCTCAAAAGTTGAATGCTTTTTGCAGTGATACCATCATCAGTTTCTAAATACCTTCTTTCCTCAGATTAATTAAAAAATAACAGTATAACACTATTTGCCTTTGGTTTTAAACATTTCGTAACTACTTCTTTATGGACATCGCCAGAGAAGGAACTATAATGCTTTGTTCCATGTTGAAATGTTCCTGGATGTATTTTCAAATCTTCAGTCAAGAAGAAACGCAGGTAGCATGAAAGTCAGGAATCCTGATATGAGGTTGCAGTCACGCAGCCTTCGCTGCCAGAGCCTTCACTCAAATTGCTTTTCCATGTTTTCTGTCCCATTTAACACCAGTTTCCCATAATCCTTGGAGTTCCAATCTCAATTGCCTTCCTTCTCGATCCTTCTTCCAGCCTGTTCGCCCCTAACTTGATATTTCTATGGTCAGCTTGACTTGTACTGCTGTGTACTGAGATGCAGCCTCTCATGGGAGGAAGCCCCCTGCCCAGCACCTGCCCCGCCTTGCTCAGATACTGCAGGTGAATGAATTAAGAGACCATTAAAGCATGCTATTTTTGTTTAACTCTGAAACAGCGTACTACTATGTGAAAAAAGTGGGAATAGGTCTACGTTTGTCTGAATTTAGAGACTTTTGCCTCACCATCTGCATCGTGAGTTAAATTTTAAGTGTTATGATAGCTTCAGACTCCAATAAAATAGAAGAGTTAGTTCAATCTAGTCACTGCCCCACCTCAAACAACACTAGGGCTTGCAGCCGTCCTCACCCCATTGGGAGCCTACCCCATTGCGCCAGGGTTTAGGGGGAAAGTCAAGCATTATCTTCCAGAGGAAACACGAGGCGGGTGCCCCGGCTCGAAACCTTCTGGTCTCCCATTCCCAGGTCTCGCTCCAGCACTTCCTCTGAGCTGCTCTTCGTTCTCCGGCTACCCTCCAGACTTGTGGAGCCAGTGTGTGAGCCTGAGGAACCATTTGCAGTCACTGTGCTGTCCCCGTAGGTCAATGTGAGGTCGCCTTCAGTCAGGATGAAATCGGAATCTTCCTCTCTCAGTGGCTCTTGGTTCTGAAAAGTGCAACCAACAAGAACAAAAATGAGAGGCTGGAATCTCCCAGAGTTGGCACCATCCCCAACCCCAATCCCAACTCCTCATCTGAAAACTCCGGATTATGAAACTTGCCTGCCTTGAGCCACTAGCGTGGTAACTGGCTGTAAACTGTAGAGGGCCAGGCATGGTTGCCAAGACCAGGACTTAGAAAACTGAAAACAGTTCTGATTTCAAATGTCTGACAGCTTGGAGTTAGTGACAAAGGGAAGAAAGGGAGACCAGCCTGGATTTTCAGCTTCCCAATCAACATACAAAGAAAGGCCAGAGTAGGGTTATTGGGCAAACATTGCAAATAGGTTTCAGGTACTATCTTCTCTGGGCAGGCCTTCTGGGTGGGCCTCCTGCCCTATGCAAACCATCCCCAACCCATCTTGTTTACACTGGAACTATTCTGTGTCATAGACAGCAATTCAGGGAAGAGGACAAGCCATAATTAGGATTTCCTCCCTGTTTCCCCAGTCACCTCCCCACAGGAAAACCCTCATAGGAAGCCCACCCACTACATCCTCAGGTGGATGAATCAAATGATCGAGGGAGAGCAAAGCTGCAACCACTTGAACTATCAGATGGTGGTGAGAGTGTCGGAGACAGCATGAGGTCAGACAGGACCTTCTACCTCCAATGGGTTTAACCAGCAAAACAAGGGGAGGGCCACGACCCAGGTCCCCGACTGCATTGAGGCTTATCAAGTACTGTGTACCGCCTTCTAGAAGGGCAAACAGTGTCAAATACACTGGATTAACTGCTTTTTTTCTCTCCTGTTTCCCACCAACCCTTCAAAGCTCATCCGAAGTCCTGCATCCTCTATGAGTCAGAGCCTCCAAGGCACCAAACTGGCCTCCCCGAGCCCCTGGGGGCCTCTGCGCAGTCACACAGCCCAAAGCCATGGGCAGATTTCCAGAGGTCAGTCTCTGGACTCCCCGTCTAGATGACAAACACCAAAGGGCAGTGACCTTGTTCTCCACGCCTTGGCACCTTCCTCAATGGTGCTTACCTCACAGTAGGTGCTAAGTGAATGCCAGGTAAATGCACCAGCTAGGGAAGACTCATGGGTTGAGTTTCCTCTCCCAGACTATTTCTGCACTCATTGGTGACGATCACATACTTGTTGTTTGCATTCTCAGTGATATTAACTTCACACACTGTCCACAATGTGACTCCACTTAACCAATGCTTCAGCATTTTTAAGAGGCAAGCACACAACTCCTCTCACTTGCTGCCTCAAATCCCCACTGGAATGAAGCAGGGTGCAAACGCCCAAGGAGATTAAAATCCTGTGCTCAGGCAGATGTTTAGAGCACAGTTCTAAAACTTGCTCTTAACTCCAAGATTTCCTTTTTTAAAAACAGACTCTCACCTCTGTCGCCAGGCTAGAGTGCAATGGCGCGATCTCAGCTCACTGCAATCTGCACCTCCCAGGTTCAAGTTATTTTCCTGTATCAGCCTCCCAAGTAGCTGGAATTACAGGCACTCACCACCATGGCTGGCCAATTTTTGTATTTTTAGTAGAGACGGGGTTTCACCATGTTGGCCGACATGGTCTTGATCTCCTGACCTTGTGATCCATCCGCCTCAGCCTCCCAAAGTGTTGGGATTACAGGTGTCAGCCACCGTGCCGAGCCAATTTCCTCCTCTTTACCAGTGTTTAGAAAGTCCTGAAACTCAATCCGATCTACTGTAGCTTTTTTTTTTTTTTTTGAGACGGACTTTCACTCTTGTCACCCAGGCTGCAGTACAATGGCAAAATCTCGGTTCACTGCAACCTCTCCCTCCCGGGTTCAAATAATTCTCTTGCCTCAGCCTCCTGAGTAGCTCGGATTACAGGTGCCTGCCACCATGCCTGGCTAGTGTTTGTATTTTTAGTAGAGATGGGGTTTCATCCTGCTTTGAACCCAGGTCCTGCCTAGGGTCTCAGCCAGCTCCAGACATGGTGGGGCCTGCTGCTGAGACAGTGGGAGCAAAGGGTCTCTTCAAAATTATCAGTGGAGGAACCCAAAATTGACAGAAGTGAAGGGACTCACTGCCTACCAGGACTTTTCAATGGTCACCTTCCTCTGAGGGGACCAAGGAGGGGTCTGAGGGCCTAGGGATGACAGACACACAGCTTATTCTCTGCAGCGGCAGGTTTAGGACCCATGGTGACTTGGCAGTTGTCATCCCTGTTCTCAGAGAAAGAGCATGCCATTTAAGGAGCTGCCTCCTTCAATCTCCGGTGCTCTGATGTGGCTGCCCTTCCCTTCCGCCTCAGCGCCCCTACCTAGCAATCAAGTGTCCACATCCCTTTCCCCTCTGTACCACATGAATGTGCACCACCTGTCTTAACCCTGCTACCACTCGTTAGAACTTACGTGTTTAGGGCCTCTCTTTCATATCTAGGCTTTGTGTTCTGCCTTCTCATCACCAATCAAGTAAACTGCAGGTTATTTGCTAAGAATGTGAAGACCTGCATGAGATTCCCAGCTAATTACTAACCATGGGCCTGGGGCCAACTCACATCCTCTCTGAGATGCACTTCCCTTCCCTGTACTGATGCTACAGTACTCACTGATTCAAGGTATGACTGAAAGAATGAAATTAACCTTTGTGAACTGTAGAGCTGTATGCAAATTTTAGACATTCTTTTCTTCTAGGGCATAAGACTGTGTTAATGACAAGATGATTAGGATGGCCTAGGAGGGATGATGAAGAAAGGCCTTTGACCTCTCCTCTGCTCCTTCCTTGTGGGTAGCTACTTCGCTCTCTCTACCTGTCTGCCCTGCACCCTGCAACCCACATCAGGAACTCAGGAGTCAGCCCTAAATCTAAGACATTCACCATTGTGCATGTTCTTTTCATATCGAGCTGAGTCTATTTCCAGAATCTGAAAATGGAAAGAAAGGACCTAACCATATCAACATAAATAAACTATTTAGAAAAGGATTCCTTACATGCTTTGTGGTTCACAGTGTATCTTCATGTATTTCATCATTTCATGCTCACAGCCAACCTGTAGTACTGGGCCCACTTTATAGATTAGAAAACTGAGATGCAGAGCATGTCTATGGCCTGTCAGGGATTAGATTCCAATCCAGTGGCTCTGATTCCAAATCCAGTGTTCTTTCTATTATACCACAGCTGCCGATGTTGGGGAATCCCATTGCCCTGGTAAACGGTTTGTCTGTTACTGTGCAAAATCTACAAACATATGTTAAGTTGGCCATTTCTAATGAGCTTATTAGAGAAGCAAAAATCTGTGGATGTGGAGGCATGAGTATCATGGTTTCTTTTTCCTGTATAAGACACTGCCCTGGCATGGTGACCAAGGCTGCAACCCTGATGTGCAGTACTTACATCATACACCTGGGGACTGGTCAAACATCGAGCTAGCAAGCCACACCAGGCAGGGAGAGTGGTGGTTAGCGGGGGGCCGCTGTGCGTGAGGATGGGCTTCAGGTAACTTTAAAATGGGAATTAAGGAAAAATGGCTGCAAAGAAAACATATACACAACGAAATGTGCTTAAAAATCACCCAACGTTCTACCCACATTAAGCTTATTTCCCCCATTTTACTAGTACAATACACGAAATACTTGTAACATGCAACAGTTTGAATAAAAGAGTAAGATATGCCCTATCAGCCTTAAATAGTAACTCTTAAGTCTCAGGTTGGTAACTCCCAATTTTCAGTTAAAAAGTATATTTGATTAATTACAAATTAGATCCCCCTTCTCCCTTTGTCATGTTGAATGGAAGTTTTGGTTTCAATCAGCATTTCAGCCTCTGACACACAACTGGCTCCAGGCCTTGGAAACAGGAGATAGTGTCCCTGGAGTAGGGAATAGCAACCTCTGGGTCCCCTCTGCTCTCGTTCTCTGCATGTATTCCTGTTAAACCACTCTACCCAGAGGGCAGGTGGTAGAAATGCTGAAGTTGGACACGACCTTAGGGGTAGCCTGGGGCTACTACAAGGGCAGAAACTGAGACTTGGCAACATGAAATGATTTCAGTAAGGCTGATCGGACTTAAATCTCTAAACTTCCCATACAGGATCATTCTTCACTCTACCTACAGCTTCTCTCCTGGACGCTAACACAAGGCTTTTCAACCTCAACACTATTGATATTTGGGGCCAGATCATTCTTTGTTGTGGGGGGCTGTTCTGCATATGGTAGGATGTTGAGCAACACCCCTGGTCACATTACAGATTCCCCCTTGACTTATGACACAATTACATCCCAATAAGCCCATTAGGTTGAAAATATCATAAACCACAAACACATTTAACACACCTAAGCTACCAAACATCACAGTTTAGCCCAGGCTACATTAAATGAGCTCTGAACACTAACATTAGCCTACAGTTGCGCAAAATCATCTAACACAAAGCCTATTTTATAAAAAAATATTGAATATCTCACGTAATTTATTGCATACTGTACTGAAAATGAAAAGTAGGATGGTTGAATGGGTACTCAAAGTACAGTTTGTACTGAATGCAGGTCACTTTCATACCATATTGTCAACATTGAAGCATCTTAAGTTGGGGACTGTCTGTAGATGCCAGTAGCACCATTACTCCCCTCTCCAAGTTGTGACAATGAAAAATGTCTTCAAAAAAATTGCCAAATGGTGAGTGCTATGGTTGGTGAGCCACGTTTCCCTAAAGGCACCTGAGAAACTGAGCAGAGCATTTGGCAGAATCGCAAAGACAGAGTGAACCTGACAAAAACCAGAGTCTAGGGCCTACCGAGGAAGAAGATGGAAACCAGGCTTTAGGTGGGGATCCTGGGATAAAGGGTCAAGAGAAAACAGACTAACTCTCACAGGACCTAATGGCCAGCATCAAGTCATCCTTATTCCTGATTGGATTAAGGTGATCTGCAATTGCTAATACCCCAGCCTAGCCACTGACCCGACAGATGTAAGTTTAAATCATCTCTGAAGGATGATGATGTTATACAGAGCATCTCAAATGATCTCTAGATTTTTTTCTAGAGAAAAAAATTGCCCATGCTTGTTCCTCAGTAAAAAAAAAATAGATGTGCAGAAGGCCAACAATAAAGCTTCTAGAAGATAACATAGGAAATTGGCTTCATGACTTTAAGGTAGGCAAAGATTTCTGAAACAGCACATAAAAAATACTAACTAGGAGATCAATAAATTGGATTAAGACCTTTCGTTCATCAAAATATTCTATTTAAAAAGTGAGGCTGGGTGTGGTGGCTCACACTTGTAATCTGGGCACTTTGGGAGGCTGAGGCAGGTGGGTCACTTGAGGCCAGGAGTTCAAGAACAGCCTGGCTGACATAGCAAAACCCCATATCTACTAAAAATACAAAAATTAGCCGGGTGTGGTGGCACTCACCTTTAATCCCAGCTACTCGGGAGGCTAAGGCATAAGAATCACTTGAACCCAGGAGGCGGAGGTTGCAGTGAGCCGAGATCACACCACTGCACTCCAGCCTGGGCAACAGAGTGAGACTCTGTCTCAAAAAAAAAAAAAAAGTGAAAAGGCAAGTTACAAAGTGGTAGCAGATATTTTTATCACATATGATCAGCAAAAGACTCATATCTGGAATACATAAAGAACTCTTGCAAATCAGTAAGAAAAAGGCAGGCAACGCAACAGAAAAATGAGCAAAAGACTAGAAAAGGCACTGTATAAAGGAACATACCAAATGGCCAGTAAATATATGCAAAAGTGCTCAACCCTATCAGTCATTTGAGAAATGCAAATGGAAAGTCATGATTAAATACCACTACAAACCCAATAGAATGGCTAAAATTAAAAAGACTGAAAACATCAAATGTTGGTGAGAATGTGGAAGAACTGGAACTCTCGTACACTAGAAGTGACTGTGTAAAGTAGTATTGCTATTTAGGAAAACTGGCACTGTCTTCTGAAGTTGAACCTACCCATGTCCTATGACCTAGCAATTTTACTCCTGGGTAGATTCCCAAGAAAAATGTATGCATATGTGCCTCAAAAGACATGTACATCAATAATAGAATGATAAATTATGATATATTTATATAAGACATCTATGGAACAATGAGAACAAATGAACTAGAACTGCATATGACAACATGGATGTATCATACACACGATGTCAAGCCAAATAAGCCAGACATTAAAATATATATACTGTATAGTCCTATTTATAGAAAGTTGAAAAACAGGTGAAACTATTAGTTGCTAGACATCAACAGGGCGATTACATTTGGGGAGGAGAAGGGGTAGTAATTGAGTCATGGCATGAGGGGGTTGGCAATTTTGCTCCCCCCAACTTTTCTTTGAGACAGGGCCTGAGTAGCTGGACTACAGGTGTGTGCTACCAGACTTGGCTAATTTTTGTATTTTTTGTAGAGACAGGGTTTCATCATGTTGCCCAGGCTGGTCTGTAACTCCTGGGCTCAAGTGATCTGCCTGCCCTGGCTTCCCAAAGTACTGGGACTAAAGGCATGAGCTACCATGCCCAGCCTTGGTCATTTTGTTTCTTGATTGGTTTGGTGTTAGTGTGTTTATTTTGTGATAATTTACTGAGCAATTATTATTTGTGTACTTTTCTGTATATCTGTTATACTTCAATAAATTTTTAACATTTCAGCATCTCCCAAAACCACATATAATACGCCACCTGCCCATTTGATCACTATGTCAACCTAAGAAACCATGAGGGGTTGGGTGAAGTGGCTCATGCCTGTAATTCCAGCACTTTGGGAGGCGGAGGTGGGAAGATCACCTGAGCCCAGGAGTTCGAGACCAGCCTGGGCAACATGGCAAAACCCTATCTCTACCAAAAACACAAAAAATTAGCTGGACACGGTGGCATGCACCTGTGGTCCCAGATACTTGGGAGGCTGAGGTGGGAAGATTGCTTGAGCCCTAGAGGGGAAGCTTGCAGTGAGCCAAGTACATCACCACACAGCCTGGGCAACAGAGTGAGACCTCCTCTCAAAACAAAAAACAAAAAACAAACAAACAAAAAAAAAACAATGAGGGTTTAACATTTTGGTTTTTAATTTTTACTTTGAGACCAAGTGAATCTACTAGAACAGGGTTTGCCCTGCACGTGGCCCAGTTACGCCAGTATCAGATCACACAAGGTCAGACTTGGCCAAGTTCATCCAACAGGAATTATCCTCCCCATATGGATTTACAGCTGAAGTTCAACTTCCTTTTCTGACCACAGCATGACTCATTGTGTAATTTTAATCTAATCACTTAAAAGGGCATAGTTCCCTGGACACAAAGCTCTTAAGAGCCACACCAGTCTACCAGGCTGTGGGTTGGTTACTCTAAGGATATGCAAACATTCCTCTTGGCCAGAGATACTCACCAGGACTACCTATGGTTGAATCCTCAATGCACATGTTCTATGAGAGGACATACTATCCTTGTCCCAAGCATGCATCTTTCCTTACTTATCAGATGTCATTCACTGGCAATTCAACAAGAAGATTTCATCCCCAGTGTTTCACTGACACAGGGGATGCTACTTAAAAGGATACTTGTGATCAAAGCTGTACCACAGCCTGAATATCCATGCGCTCTCCTGTTTTGTCCGATTTCCTCTGGCAGAATCTGGGCCATCCTAGGAACAAATAAGAGGGCACATACTTAGTTGTACAAAAGGGATCTCAAAGAAAAGAAAAAAAATTTTTTTAAATAACTTATATAGCCCTGGAGCTCATAGTCAAGCATCCCATGTCAGCAGTTTCAAAGATATATTGGGAGGCAGCATTTGAGCAGAAATTAAAGACATTCAAAAGGCAGAAAAATCAGTTTCCAAAGTAGAAAGGCTGGGTTATGTCTGTGGATAGATCAAACTCAATGTGGAACAGCATTTCTTTCGGCATCTTTATTGCAATTTGCCTCGACGTGCCTTTCAGCAGATTAATTACCCTAAAATAGTCTAGATCCTAACAGGCCAAAATTGATTTATAGAGAATATTTTTGAAAGCTTTTTGTAAAAGCAACTTTCCAACCCCCATCCTCAAAGTAGGCCTGTGGAAACCACATTTTGTTGAGTATCCTGACAAACTAGTTAAGGCTTCTCTCTGTTCCTTACCCAGGCACCTACACTGTGCTCCAGGTAGCAAGGTAACTTGTTTCCCCACCAGCTTTAGGAAGGTGGGATCAGTAGAAAGGAGAAACAGGAGCTCGAACTAACAATTCTGTAATTTTATCTACGCTCAGGTAGCAAGGAACTTGCTACTCTCATGTTTTTCCAATTCAGACATCCCCATCATGTGATTTTCAAAATAACCTGCAAAATCAAACATTCATTTAAGGTTTAGAAAATCTGTTCTGTGCAAGTATCAGAAGCAGCATAGTTAATATAAAACTCAGACTGACTGCAGCAATTTGAGGGTACGACTGGGGCTGTGCAAGCACAGACTGCTTGTGAAGCCATTTTTATCATCATTCTCTTTAATATTACAGGGAGAGGCCACTCTGCAAGTGAGGGACAACTGACAATCACCAAATCAACTTGAACCAAAATTACAAGTAGTTTTAAATCATAGTGAGTGTAAATTCTATCTGCAATGGCAACATCAAGAATTAATCAGAGATCTTTGAGAAGCACATGGACAAGAAGGAGAGAAATTAGCAAGCACTATTTATTAATACATTCCTAAAGTTTCCAACAGCAAAGACTGTTTTTAAAAATTGAATCCCCTTGGTATTTCAGGAATGTTTAGTGACGGATATGGAAATGGCTCAGTTAAATGGGGCCTTCTGTGGATGAGGAAATATAAACAAGGAGAGACCCCAGAGACCAATTTGATTTTACATTTTTATAAATCATGTGGAAGAGAGAGAGCACAGAAATGTCTCCATTTGCAGGGTGACTGATTGCTAACCCAATGAAACTTTAGGAAGATTCCAAAATGCCACATGACTGAGTAGAAAAGTGGCAGAAGATTTTTTGATAGGCAAATATATAAAGGAAACAATTAAATGGTTCTTTATAAAGTAACAGCCTTTAAGATCTCAGTTCTAAGAGCCTGTAGAATTTTACTAAAGAAAAAGCCAGCACAATGATAAATATCATCAGGAAGGATACTATAAACCATCAGGCACAAAACAAGTCCCCCAAAGTCAGTTTCTTCCGCTTCTTCCCTTAAATCAATGACGAAAACAATGAACCCTACTCTGTCATCTTAACCTCTGCAAAACCACATAGCATTTATTATCATTGGACTACTTAATTTCTTGCCATCTGAAGAAAGCTACAAGAATCCCAGAACTTAAAAGTTAAATTAAAAAAATTAAAGCTACAAAAGACTTACATAAATCCCAAAAGAGACAATTAAAATGAGTAAAGCAAGGGAATGGCTTCTGTTTGACAGCAAACTAACAAAAGGTCTTCTCAGGCTAAGGAAAGGTATGCCTGCAATCCGCAAATAAGATCAAGTGACCTCAGACTCCACAGCAAATCCCGAAATGTAAGAAACTAAGGGACAACCCTTAGAGGCTACAAGGGGTAAATTCAGGACAAATCAAAAGTGTCACTTTGTGAAAAGGGTGTTAAACAACTTCTTATTCCAAGAGATGGTGCCAGAAGCATGATTAGGTACAGGAAGAACTTAGATAAATCCACATATGGTGGCTTTGGGGAAATCAGGGCAGTTCTGTGTGACAGAACTAATTTTTTTAAGCTGACCCGGAATACAGGCAACAACTGCTTCATGCCATGATTGGGGCTGCTATCACAGAGGAGCCAAGAGAGTCCTTCCTGTGGGCTCCGAACAGCACAGGGCTGAGCAAGGGTCACTGTGGGAACAGGCAGAGCCTCCTTCCTGGCGGTACTTGGCGATTCTTGGATTTTCCATTCCTGTGCTGCCCACAGAAAAAGCATGGACTTGCTCCCTCAACTCGCCCCTCCTCAAAACCTGGGTTCACACTTCATGTCTTTAGCTCAGGCAACTTCTAGAGCCTGGAACATCCTTTGTTCTTCTCACCTTCTTCCACTCAGAATGCCTACCTGGCCGACCTCTATTCATCTTTCAAGCCTGTGCAAAAGTGTGGCTTCTCTGAGAAATGTTTCAAAAACAACGCAGCACTCTAAGAGGTATAGGTGTGGATATCACAGGCTCTCTCAAGAGACTATCTGGGTCCTGACTGTGCCACTGCCATTGCCTTGCTGTGCGACTCTAGGTAAGTTACCTAACTTTTCTGTGCTTTAGTATCCTTATCTGTAAAATGGAAATATTAATGATTACCTACCTCTAGGGGCATTATGAGGCCATGATGTTGTGATAGAACAAGAAATATATCTGGTTTTTGCCTGACACAAAACTCCTAAAACCCTTGGAATTTCCTGAGTAGATAAGGCGAGAAGAACATGTCCCCCACTGCCCCCCACCCCTGAGATGGAGTCTCGCTCTGTCGCCAGGCTGAAGTGCAGTGGCATGATCTTGGCTCACTGCAACCTCCACTTCTCAGGTTCAAGCTATTCTCCTGCCTCAGCCTCCTGAGTAGATGGGACTACAGAAGTGCGCCACCACGCCCAGCTAATTATTGTATTTTAGTAGAGACAGGGTTTCACCATGTTGGCCAGGATGGTCTCAATCTCCTGACCTCGTGATCGGCCTGCCTCAGCCTCCCAAAGTGTTGGGATTACAGGCGTGAGCCACCACATCTGGCTGGAATGTCTTTTTTTTTATTAATAATAAGCTCCTTTAAAGCATACTTGAATTTATGCTAATAAGATGACTCTTGAATGGGCACTGGTTGCCAGAGAAACCAACCAAGTAATTAGAGGACTGGAACTTTTAGCCCTATCTCTAACCTCCTGGGAGGGGAGGACTGGGGATTGAGTTAATTGCCAATGGCTACTTAATTAATCAGCCACACCTATTTAATGGAACCTTCATAAAACCCTAAATGACACAATTTGGAGGGCTTCCAAGTTGGCGCCACACACTCCCATCCCCATCCTTTGCCCTATGCATCTCTTCCATTAGGCTATTCCTGAATTGTATCCTTTATAACGAACTGGTAATGGTAAAAGTTCTGTGTTCTGTGTGTCATGCTAGCAAATTATCAAACCTGAGGAAGGGGTGGGAACCCCCAACATACAGCCAGTCAGTCTGAAGTACAGGTCACGACCTGGGACTTGCAACTAGTGTCTGAAGTGGGGACAGTCTTGTGGGACTGAGTCCTTAACTTGTGGGATCTGCTGCCAACTCCAGGTAGTTAGTGAGTTAAACTGTAGGAGGTCCAGCTGGTATTCACTGAGAATTGGAGAATTGGCTGGTATAGAAAAAGACCACACATATTTGGCATTACAAGTGTGAATGTAGAGAAAAAAGAGGTTTTTATTTTAGAAGTATAAAAGATTTTTCGTTTAAAGAACTTAGGATGGTGTCTGATATGTGGCAAGCACTCAACAAATATTGACTCATTATTATTTGCCATGTGACTTTTTTTGTGATGATTAAATATTTGTGAAATATTTAACACAGAATCTGGCATGTAGTTAGAGCTCATACTACTAATTAAGTTCATTTCCAAAGACTGGATATGTAATTTCAAGCACATATTTGTTTGGGAGGAAAAAAAAGGCCTAGTCATTAACGTCATTTGGCTATCTTGTGTGGCTTTTTACTGCCATTATTAGTAGAGAAGCCCCTTCAAGAAAATACCACCAACCTGCTTATTACCATTTTTTGAGCATGTGACAATGAGTGTCTATTTCTTCTGCATTCATTAAGCACCTACTATGTGCCAGGCACCATGCTGGGTGCTGGAAACACAAAAAGGAATATAACTTAGCACCTGCGCCTCAAGCACTCTTTCTAAAAGGTGAAGGTGGCAGCGGCGGGCGGGGGGGGGAGGTGGTGGGGTGGTGGTGGCGGTGGGAGGGGAAGGGTAGATAGACAAATACGTATTGACTGACAAATGTAATGAAGAAAAAGAAAGCTGATCAAAGAACTGAGGAATAGCAAACAGTCCTATTTTTGAAATAATTTTTCTAGAACGAATGCATGGTGATGTCTGTTTCATTCCATTCTTACATAATATTAAAAGATGTCTTTAAAAGTTAAGGTCATTACACTAATGAGAACAACTTACTTTTTTTTTCAGGGATGGAGCATGTGGTAGGCAGAGTAATGGCCACCCCACCAAAGCTTTCTATAGCCTAATCCCTGGAGCCTGTTACATTACCTGACAAAAGGGGCTTTGTGGACAGACTTAAGGTTATCCAGGTAGGCCCAATACAATCACATGGGCCCTTAAAAGTTGACAAGGAGGGCCAGGCATGGTGGCTCATGCTTGTAATTTCAGCACTTTGGGAGACCAAGGTGGGATCACTTGAGGTCAGGAGTTCAAGATCAGCCCAGCCATCATTGCGAAATCCCGTGTCTACTAAAAACACAAAAATCAGCTTGGCATGATGGCGTACACCTGTAATTCCCGCTACTCAGGAAGCTGAGGCACAAGAATTGCCAGGAGGCGTAGGTTGCAGTGAGCTGAGATCACACCACTGCACTCCAGACTGGGCGATAGAGCAAGACTCTGTCTCAAAAAAAAAAAAAAAAAAAAAAAACAACAACAACAAAAAAAAAACAACTGGACAGGGAT